TGAGGGGGTCTGGCAGGGAAGGGCCCTGGAGCCCTGCCCACAGCAATTAACACTAATTAGTACCATGGGGAAGAGGGAGGGACACCCCTCCTTTGTGATTGATTAGCCCGGGGGGGTAGGGGAGTGGTGTCCCCATGCAGATGAACATTTCTCCTTCCTTTGGGGGGGCTGCAGCCCAGGGATGGGGATAAGGAATGGGGTTAAGGGACCGGAAGCGTTGGAAGCCTGGACCAGAAGCACCCTGTGACACATGTCAGCACCACGGAGAGGGGAGCCGGGAGCGCTCCGGGGTTCACCCAGCTCATCTGCCCATGGCACTTCCGGGCACAGAGGAGCCGGTCGCTCCACTACAGTTAATTAACTCTGGTTCGCTCCCAATGTTCCTGGGGCGTGAATGGCTTTGCTCCCCGGCCGTGGAGGGTGTGGCTGGGGCACTCTGGGAGCTCTGGCTGGAGGAGCATGGGAGGGGAGGTGTGGGGCTCTGAGGTATCCAGCCAGGCATTGGCGTAACTGTCCTCTCTCCCTACACATTACAATACAGATGGGCTCTGGACGGTGACGTCCCTTTGGGGTCTCTCTCTGGGCCCTGGGCCCCGCTAGAGGTGGCAGCGGGCGTGGCGGTCTCAGTGGCTGTGGCTGGTCGTGGTGTGTCCGTCTGTCCCTCGGGGAGGTAAGTCCCGTAGCGTTGCTGCTTGGGAGTGGTGGGGCCCGGGCCAGGCTGGGACGGTCCCCCAGGGACCAGGGCAGGACTCTCAGGGCTTCGGTCCTAGCCCAGGAAACAGACGGGTCCCACCTCGAACCCAAACTTCTGGTTGGGCTCGCCAAAGTCCGTGACGCGGACGTCCAGCAGGGGGAGCTGCTCCACCCGGGGAGTGTTCACCTCCAGCACCGTCCGGTCCGGGCCCTTCCGCAGCTGCAGGGAGAGGATGGGAAGGGTCAAGCTGCGGGGTCAGCAGCTCCGGGGGCTCCCCTGGGGAACCTCTCTTCTCGTGGGGGTCTAGGCTCTGCCCTCTGTCCCTGGCCTGGACACAGCCTCCCTCCCCCCAGCTGTCCTATCCATCCCATCCCTCCAGCCGGCCCTGGTGTTGTCCGTCTCTTCCTGTGTTTGGTGCAGCCCTCTGTCTGTCTGCTCCTGGGCCTCCAGCATCCCTCTGTCTGTGCCTGTGACTGTCTATTGCTGCCCCGGCATGTCTGTCGGTCTGTCCATTGCTCCCCCAGTGTATGCATCCATCTCTCCATCCTTCCTTCCCTCGACTCCATTGTGTCTGGCTGGTTGGTCACCCAGCTGCCCCTCTGCATATCCATCATTATTCTCTCTACTGTGTGATGCTATCTGACTACAATGTGACCATATGGCTCCCTGCTGCCACCCTGCTCAGTCCTGCATTGTGTCGGGTGAGGCATCTGTGGACGTGCCAAGTGAAGTGTCTGTTTCTCCCATTCACAGGCCTGTACAATCTGTGTATCAGGAGTTGTAAGTATGGGCAATGTTGCGGTAGTCCCAGTATTTGCTTGGGGAAGACAGCAACAGATTCTGCCCAGCAACTGTAGACAGCCGGACAGTCCAGTGACCGGCAGCACTTGACTGACAATGCACCTCGAGTGGGGCCAATCCGTGTCCGAGGTACTTGACTGACAGTGCACCTCGAGCAGGGCCAATCTTCATCGGAGGCACTTGATTGACAATGCACCTCGAGTGGGGCCAATCCGCGTCCGAGGCACTTGACTGACAATGCACCTCAAGTGGGGCTGGGTGGGGCACAAGGAGCACTGGGATGTGTGAGGGGAGGTGGGGGATGGGTTATAACCTCTCCCTTGTGTGAGGTGGAGCTGGATGGGGCATCTCCCTCCCCTCTAT